CACGTCATAGCGACCGGTTGTTCCACCGTTCATTTGATTTGCATATTAGCCTTTTATTATATAGGATAATTAAAGTGTTTTCTCCATCACAATACTCATAGTAAAATGAATAGCTAATCTACAAAGGTGTATTCTTTTTCAAGCCCTTTCTAGTTTTCCATTAAGGAAAGTTAACAATCCTGAATTCACCTGGTGTATGGATTTACTTCCTACTGTGTTCCATGCATCATCTGCTAAACTCTGATCCTAAATGAAAATTAAGATTACATTATTAAGGCTTAATCACATAACTCGCTTAAATCAACTACTTTAAAACTCTCTGATGTATAATTCACAGTAAGAAATATATGTTATCCCATGACACAGAACTTACATACACACATACAAACTCATGTGTGTATAAGTATGTGTAAGTCCTAGAACAAATAACTGAGACTAAGTGTACTTCTGCCTTTAAGTGAAATGGGCACTAAGCAAATTTTTGCCTGTTTTTAAATCTGAATCCCCTGGTCTGAGCAACACTGGGCTTAATAAAATACTACAAACATACTGAAAAAATACCATTATATTTTTTTATTTCTGAATGAAACTTATAAGGTCAGCTAATACCACTAATAGAACCTCAAATAGCAGACATTTTATACTAAGTAACTCACTGCTGATCTACAAAATCAGCCTTGGAAAAGAACAAGTTGTTTCTTTCCTAACTGCTTTTTATCTTCTTAAAATAGTTGTCAAAGTTTTATTAGAATTATTAAAACTGGTAGTATTCCATGAATATCTGCTCTTTTAAAATGTCCCACACACTTTTATTGCTGAACAGGCCTAGGCTTTCCCTAATATAGGAGATCAGGAAGCTAAAATCCAGAGGAGGTGACCCGCTCGTGGTCACAGTTAGTCAACAGCAGGTTAACCGAAAACTGGATGTCTGGCTCATGCTCCAGAGTTGAGGGGTAGACCTCTATAGAGTAGTGATTGCGAACCTATGACACGCGTGTCAGAGGTGACATGTGAACTCATCTTTTTGGTTGATTTTTCTTTGTTAAATGGCATTTAAATATATAAAATAAATATCAAAAATATAAGTCTTTGTTTTACTATGGTTGCAAATATCAAAAAATTTCTACATGTGACACGGCACCAGAGTTAAGTTAGGGTTTTTCAAAATGCTGACACGCCGAGCTCAAAAGGTTCGCCATCACTGCTATAGAGTGTCCAATAGGAGCCCTTCAGTCTTCCGAAGAGATGTCCTGACTCACTTTGGTTTCAAGGAAAGGACTACAAGCCTCCAAAGCCTCCGGCGACGCCTCTAAGGAAGAAGACTTTCAGAGAGCTTTAAAAGGAAGATTTGAATCTGTCAGGAAGTAGGGAAAGCTCTTTTGAACAAGTGATGCTTGAATTGTGATTTTTTTAAAAATGGGAAGAATCTAAGTCAGCGAAGAGGAGGAAGAAGTTCATTCAAGGCAGAGGGGACACCATATGGGAAGGCCTGTGGCAGAAGAAGGCCTGGTAGAAGCAAAAGACATCTTCAAACATGAGAGGTGACGGGGCTAGCCTTGAGTAGGCAGAGTGGGTGTTTCCTCCCTTTCCTTTTCCTTTTCCCAAGGAAGAAATAAATGTTCTCAAGTAGTTGGTACCAAGTCTTGGGCTACCAGGTTTAACAGTGAAAAAGTTATTCCCAGACAGGATGAGACTGTAAGGGAGAAGTGCTACCAAAACCCAGGCAACTGGGCTGAGTGTGGGAGGACAAGAGCCCCTCTCATCTCTGCTACCCACACCTCAGAGGGGCCACCCTCAGGGAAAGTAGGAGACCTGACTGAGAAAAGCGGTAATTTGAGGAAATGGCTCTATTGCCTGCCCTGGAAAGCTCAGAAAGCAGTGCTCCAGTGTTCTTCCATCCCTGTTCGCCTGACTGGAAGGCCAAATTCATCTCCATTTAGGCTCCTTCCAGCACAGTTGTGACCACCTAAAACAAGTATTACCTCCCTACATTTCATTTTTTTCAAATGCTCAAACACAAGGAGTAAGGGGACTCTGAAAATATCCGAGAGAGAAGTACATGAAAGAGAGTGGAATGAGGTCATGGCAATATGATACACTCTCTCCTACGATAACCCAACGGAAACAGTTCTAATTTAAAATAAACACCCAAACAAAAAACACACCTCATTTCCAAAACCAGTTAGTAGCTAAAGCAACTAGAGAGAGTTTCACACTGAAAATGCACTTATTTTTGGGGAGTTTCATTTAGAGAAATTATTTTATAGCTATAAATATCTATATATATAAAGAGCCAGGGGCCATCACAACTGAACCGACGACTGAACTGACAACCAAACAGGCTGATAGGGGTGACAAGGCCGGCAGGGGGGTTAGAGAGGGACGGCCAAACAACTAAGCAGCAGGCTGCGTGGGGTGACCATCCCAGCAGTGGTTAGTGAAGGCCGACCAAACAACTGAGCACCAGGCTGCATGGGGTGACCAGGGTGGCAGGGGGGGCAGTGAGGGGTGATCAAACGACTGAACAGCAGGCCATGTGGGGCGACCAGGGTGGCAGGGGGGGCAGTGAGGGGTGATCAAACGACCGAACAGCAGGCTGTGTGGGGTGACCAGGGTGGCAGGGGGGGCAATGAGGGGTGACCAGGCCGGCAGAGGGGGACAGTTAGGGGCAACCAGGCTGGCGGAGAGGGGCAGTAAGGGGTGACCAGGCTGGCAGGGGGGCAGTTAGGGGCAACCAGGCCAGTGGGGAGGAGGCAGTTGGGGGTGACCAGGTTGGCAGGTGGGGCAGTTGGGGCAACCAGGCCAGCAAGCAGAGGCAGTTAGGGGTGATCAGGCTGGCAGAGGGCCAGTAGGGGCAATCAGGCAGGCAGGTAGGTGAGCAGTTAGGAGCCAGACGTCCCGGATTGTGAGAGGGATGTCCAACTGCCAGTTTAGCCCTGTGGGGTCCCAGATTGGAGATGGTGCAGGCTGAGCTGAGGGGGAACCCCTCCCCCCCCCCCCCCCCCGGGCATGAATTTTGTGCACCGGGCCTCTAGTATAGCTATAAAACTTAAACCTAATTGACAGTCAGCACTGAAGATCTTTAACTAATGCCACATTACTGGGTGGGAATTTCTTCCATATGCTTACCCTCTTTATCAACCTGTGAGGATAAAAAACCCACAATGCCACTCAAACAACAAAGATAAGTGGTTCACCAGCTAGTGTTTTCTCTGTTTAGTAGACTGCATGTTCCAGACTGAATTATAACCAGAGTGCTATTATGTTCTCTAATCCAGTTAAACCCAATGAATATAACATTGCACCGGAGAAGACATGTATCTACTAGAGTGAGGCAAATTTCTTCTGCTTCTCTTCCCACCCCAATTTAGGCATCTGTATTCTCCCCTTCACAAGTCAAGCACATATCAGATAAAGGGAATGTACTGGTACTAACTACTCTATAATAAAATGTGCTTCAGAACCACAGCTGCCCAGGCACAGTTTCTCAAGGCTGAATCCCATACCTTTCGGGGCCAAGGGTCAAAGGAGCTGGGATTCCCTAACTCTTCCTAGTCTCAGTTCAAGATCTGAAACCTCCCCTGCCCCAAGAGTTCAGCTAATTTCTCCCCCTCCTTCATGCTGTGTTCAGGATTCCCTCACTATACCTCCTCCCTTCTCTCTACCCTCAACAAACACCATACCCTCCGGGCAGGGTCCTTCTCCTTTCCTCAAGAGCCATAACTGTTCCTCTTGGACATCTGGATCATGTAGG